TGGGTGTTTAGCTCATAAGCACACAAATGAGAACGCAACTGCCAATCATAGAGAGTGGCAGGCAAAGGGCCAGGTGCCGAGACAGGCACTGGGGCCTAATGGGAATGGAGGTGGAGGCAGAGGTGGCTTAAGCTGAGATCTGAGGGAGTGCCCCGGGTGAGTCTGGCATGAGATGGGGCAGGGGCCAAATCCTGTAGGCTGTTGCAGAAATTGCGAAGTTTGGGGTATTTTGTCCTAAGTGCATACTAGTGACCATGATAGGAGTTACTATCACATAATCAGACTTGACTCTGTAAAAGGTCACTGATTGTCCTGTGGAGGAAGGATTGGGAGGGGACAAGAAGCCAGGTGAGACAGGCTACGGTGATGGTCTAGGTGGGAAGGAGGGAGGCAGCTGTGGACATGGAACCACCTGGGTGGAATGGAGCAGGGGAGGGTGCCTCCACCAGAGCTGTCCTGCCCCTGTGCTCAGGGACCCCAATCCTAGGTGTCTCGAAGACTAAGCATCCACCACACCAATGTTATAGACACCCTGGGTCTGTGAGTATTTGTGTGCATGCGCGTGACTGAATTGCCATCCTGCCTTGTACGGTTTTGCTGGGGAGAGATTGATGAAGCCTCTCTCAGAGCTCCACCTTGTGGACAGTGGTGGAAAGGGTTTTTGTTTGGTTGGTTTGGGGTGTTGTTGGTTTAACCACTGGAGAAACAGCAACAGCAACTTAAGATACCGAGTTCTCCAGGAGGTTCACCAGCTATCAGCCATCCCAGGTCCTTCTAGGACAAGAGGTGTGATATGAACACATTTCAACACGGTTAAGTTTAAACCCGTTCTCTGAAAATAACTGTTCGAATTCATTCAAACGTGATCCTCTCTGATGGCTTTTTAACACAGTTATTTCCTAAAGTCACCTTTTATTTAGATAGCTCCTGATGGCTGCTGGTACCTTTTGTTTTTATGCCAAAATGTGCTCCTCTGTCACTGCCATTTTCTCCTGAGGTGGGGTGGCCTTTTGCTCCGGCGTCAGCCTGCGGGCAGTGGTGTTACCTGCCTTTGTCCACTAGGTGGCCTCCCCTGAGGCCGGGCTTTTCTGCTGCATTTTCTGTTGTGTCACCTGTGCCCTCAGCTGGGCCTTGGCTACTCCTTACTGGTCTGTCGCTCTGGGCTCCTCAGGAGGCCCTCCCACTGCAGGACTGACTTCTCTGGGTGTTGGGAAGTCCCCTGGGGTGAGGCAGATCCCTCTCTCGCCCAGAGAACGACAGGTTAGGGTTATCACCTTAGTTCAGCACAATGCTGTCATAACGAGGGAAACCCAGCCTTACCTTCTCCTCATGGTGTCTGGGCTCCTTGCAGCTCTCTGCCACCTGGCTGGGTTCCCCAGTGTTGGTCCAGGCCTTGTGCCTGGCCCCCAGCTCTGGCCGAGGGCTTGGGGTGGGAAGAGCTTTTCTCCTCTCTCCCGGGCCTGCCTCCTCCCCCAGCATGGGCAGGGGAATGCCTGCCATGGTTCAGTCGAGTTCACCTCGGGCTTCCCCCTGCCTCCTGGCTATCTTTCCGGCCTCCCTGCGGGGCTCGTGGACTTGAGGGACACTGGGATCCTCAGGTCAGCATCAGGTTGGCTCTCTGCCTGCCTGGTCTTCTCTGTATGTGACCCCACCGCAGGCCGTCCTGTGACCCACTCTCTGTGACTCCCGGGTGTGTTTATCTGCTCTAGATGCTCCTGATCCCTCCTCTCAGCTCCCTGTGTAGTGAAGGACATGAACTTGGCATTTCCTTCCCTCTGAGCCTGCTGTTCCCTTCCTGCGCCCAAACACAGCGAAGGTGTGACCTACCCCGGCTCCCACTGGAGCCTGGACGTCCTTCCAGACCCCTGCTTCCCTCTCTCTGGCACCTTGGCCTGTCCTGCCTTCTCTGCTGTCACCGACAGGTGTTCCATCTGCGTGAATTACCAGCCCTCTGCTCTGGCCATCACTGGCCCCACCACTGGGACGGCCGCCCAGCTGGTCTCTACATCTGTCTGGGCTCTTGCTATTCTGTTTTCCACACTGAGGCACCTTTCAAAATGCAGATCTTCTCAGGCCTCTTAGAATCTTCCCAGGCACCTCAGCACCATGGTCTGAGGCTGCTCTCCAGAGCCTTCTCCTCCTCCTTCTCTACAGCCTCCTCCTCCTTCTCTCCAGCCTCCTCTTCTCCAGCCTCCTCCTCCTCCTCCTCTCCAGCCTCCTCCTCCTCCTCCTCTCCAGCCTCCTCCTCCTCCTCTCCAGCCTTCTCCTCCTGCTCTCCAGCCCAGCTCAGCAGCTGCTCCAGTTCCTTCACCCCGTCTGCTCTCCTAGGTGCCTCTCCAGGCCTCCAGATCCTCCTGGGAGACGCCTTTCTTGGCCATCAGTCCTGAACTCTGAGAGGACATGTCCAGAGTCCCTTCCCTTGGAATGCTCACCGGGTTTCCAAGTGTATGTCCACTAAAGTGGGTTAGTGCCATCTAAGAAGAGCCCAGGTGCTCGAGGAGGAGAAGAAGGGGTGTCTGACTCACTCCCCGCATTTCCCAGAACCCCACAGTGCCTGGCGCAGGGGAATGCTAAGCCACCTGGTGGAATGAGCCAACAGCTGGTCTAGTCTCCAAGGCCTGAAGGCTATTGCGACATTTGACGTAGGTGTCCATAGTGTGCTACCTGAATCAAGGTTACAGTGTGGCCAAAGGTTGCACAGATCTGGACAGTGTGACACCAGCTTCTCTGTTACTTCTGCAGGGTGAGGTGCAGGGAACCTCAGGTCTGTTGTCCCTGCCCTGGTCTTACCTGGCCTGTGACACAGGTGAGCATGTACTGGAAACATGATCCATGCTGTTCCTTGAAGAACAAGTAATGATTTGGGGGCAGGGGGACATAATAATCTAATGTTAATATTTACAGAAGAGAAATATTTGCCATCTCCTCCAAGCTCCATTAAAGACACAGTTGGTTTAGGTCACTATTCAGAAAAATTAATATCTCCATCTTCAAGCAAATAATTTTCTCCTGCTTTAAGTCTGAGAAGGTAAAAGGACAATTTGAGTCATTTTTCTCAAAACACAGAAGTTCAAAGTGAGGAAATTTCTAGCTTCTTCTAAATAGTATAGCTTCACCTCAAAAAAATGCGAGTTTTGCTGGGTGCCCTGTTTATAAGAGGAAAACTCATCTTCACCAACATTGACATACAAAGTGATTAATACCCTTACATATCATAATTATTATATCTTTACATATAAAACATAGGTACTTAATCTTTCCTGCATTATTTTACTTATTTATAGACTTGTTCTGGGAATAATTTAACAGAGATTACAACAACATAAAAAATATGGCAAACTGACATAAATTATGAACAGATTAAAAATTCAAAGGGAAATAAGGGCAGAAACAGAATATGGTAACAGGGGTGAGCTGCTTTACAAATGCCTTTTGTGGGGTCTATGCTGCTGCCAGGGACCTACTGGTCACCTACCAACAGCCATTCTGCTGTCCTCTGCAGACCTTGACTTTGTTCTTTGCCCAGTGTCTGGTGCTCAGTCCCAGAGGATGAGCAGGATTGAGCTAAGGGCTGTGGGCCTCCTAGCTAGGCCATTCTTGTAGAAAGGAATGACCTCATTGTCCGAGGCTCCTGTGAGATCTCTTAGAGTTAAGTGCTTCTCACCAGTGCACTTAATGTGATTCCTAATTCTGCTCCAAGCTTTCCAGCTGTCAACACCAAGAGGGACATTGAGTAAGTAACAACCCAGTGTTCATTAAACCCTCACAGGCCAGCAGCTCAGCAAAAGCAACATGGCTACGTCTAAGACCAAATAAGACCAGGGTCTGTAGGGACTCACTCATTTATCTGATGTGTTAAAATCCCAAATGAAAACACTGATGATAAAGACAGTGTAATCAGCAATCCAAGCCAAATTGGCTTTCTCTTTTGAAATAATTTATTACTCACCTTGAAGTTTCATTTTCTGCATGTTCCTTAAGTTAAACATTGTTCTGGAGCCAAATGAAGATGCACTTAATAATTAATGTGGACAACGAGTGCAGAAAAGTCGTGCTTTGGAAACTGACCCTTGGTTTCCAAATTCCAAGCCCTAAGTCTGTGAGTTGGCGGACCAGCAAGGTCTAGGTGGTTCCCAGGGACATCTTCTAGAAAGAATATGTGTGACTCCATCTCTTCAAAACATAGGAAGGCATTTAACAGAACAGAGGGACCCCGTGCTTAAAAGAACCCTTTTCCTCTGTAAACACTGACATGAGAGGTTTTATTTTTATCCAGGATCTTATTTTACAGAGAATAAGACATGCCTCAGTTTTTGTTTATTGATATCATTAATATTTGTCTTATGAAAAAGAAACAAATTCAACACTGGAAAGAATGCAGCAAAACCGCGATGGAAAGAGGGTGTGTCCTGGCCGGCTCTCCTTGACCACTTGGGGCCCCTGCACCTGGCCAGAGTGACCAGCCCACCAGGAGGAGCTCCCTTTAAGCCCAAGGAGCCCGTTTACCATTTGAGGACAAGAACTCGCCCACGTGGGCAGGTGAGCGTGTCCTTGGAGGGGAATGGTCCCCCTGCCAGGAGTCTCCGAGAAGGCTTGTGTTCTTGCCATGACTGAGAGGAGATGATGTACTGCCGATGACGTCACCCCCAAATGGAAGCTGGCTGCCTGCTCCTGTAGTCCCCATGAAGAACCAGAGCAGAAGAGGAACTTGGAAAGAGCAGGCTCAGGAGAGGCATCCTATCGTCCTTGGGTGAAAGGAAGGTGTGAGGTTAAGGAGCTGAGGGTCCGCTGGGAAGACCCTGGTGCCAGAGCTGTCTCTCTATGATGCCAATGCCGATGGCACTGCGGTGGGGGGACTTAGCAGGGAGAAAACCAAAGGCTACTTGTAGTAATTTCTATGGGGCTCATGACGGGAATGTAGAAATCACCCATGCCCACCCTGGCTTTTGCACTCCAACAGTTCAGAGACTTAGACTTTATTGCACAACCTGGTTTTCTCTTTAGAAAAAGGGACCAGTCCCATTCCAGGTGATGGTGGCCTCTCTCCACTTGGTTCTGATTGCCATCTCCAGGGGAGAGAACCTTCTTCCGGGTCTGTGTCCGTCTTCACGTCCGCCCCTCTCCCAGTGATGGGAGTGTGTATCTGGGGGAAGGAACACCAGCGTCTACCCCAATCCATGCACACCCTCCCCGAGGAGTCCAGGACAGAGGGAGAAGAGAGAGGCTGGGCAGGAGGTGGGCCTGGGGGCTGTGGCCTTAGAGCTGGGGAAGTGGAGGGAGGCCCACACCCACCTCGGAGGACTCTGGGGAGTCGCATGGGTTAATGTGAGGGGAGCTTTCAACACAGGGCCCAGAACAGAATGTGTGGGCTGCCTGCGAGCTAATAAAAACACCGTGGCTTCCTCAAAGAGGAAAGTTAAATTAGAAATGGCAATATATTTTAAGGAACATCTTGTCAATGTCACCCTAAATTAAATGGGCTAATATGTGTTTTTCACAAACAAAGAAAAAGAATTAGAAGCTGCACAGATAAGATGGTCACTCGGTTACTTTTCCAAGTCAGTGACAGTGATGGAGGATGATGTAATGCCAGGATACGGTGCCCAGTGCTGACTGGGATATGGCCAGGCTCCAGAGAGAGAGCCAAGGCTGCCCGATACAGACTCCAGCCTGCCTGCTTCAGGACCGTGTCCGAGGGCCAGTGCACGACAGAGTAATGAGGAGGACCTCATGAGGATTGTGGGGACTGTGCCTCATCCCCCGAGGGCTTTCCTGTGGCCAGCCAGACTCTGGCCCAGGGCAAGCCCTCCAAGGTGCCTTCTGAGCTAGTCTGAACAGAAATGCACCCCTAGTTTGTCTGATCTTGTCACTGGATGATCACCTGATGTCTGGTTGTGACACAGAATCGGCCAGTTGGAACTCCCTCTCCCCACTTTTCCCCTTCTCTTCTTTTTTTAATGTCTCTCCTCAGGCATTACATACTGCAAAAATAAAAAGTCCTGGACAAGGCTGTTTGAAAAGTTGCCTCTTTGCCCTTTGTGTTTTCTCGTACCTAAGTTGTTTGTTTCTCTGTGTTTTCCTACTGCGCCCCCTTCCTTTTCCAGGGTGTAGAATGCCCACATTAAAGGCTGGGTTTAGACCTGTGGGATTGTGCCAGGCTTCCTTTCAGGACTGAGCCCAAGCGCTTTCCTGCAGAGCCAGTGTGACTACCTCACAGGTGTTAATCAATGGCCGCTGCGTCTCTGTGGGCCCAGCAGAGCCCGCAGGCCCAGGTCTGAAGTGCTCACCTACTGTAAGATGCGCGGGCCTCCTCTGCGAGCGCTGACCACTGTAGAGGTACAGATCAAAGACACGCTCCATTTTCCAGTCTGATAAGAGCTGCCTGTTTGTGCAAAAAAGGACGCTGCAGTTTCCATTGATGTTACACAGCCAGATGGGAAATCTGGGGGTCTTCAGCATGCTGCCCACCTGGAGGGGAGAGGGGCAGGAGAGGAAATGTGGGCCTCACCACCCCACAGAGGCAAGGCACCATCACTTGGAGGCGCTCTCTTTCTCTGTGTGTGTGTGTGCGCGCGTGTGTGCGCGCGTGTGTGTGTGCACACCTGCGTGGGGTGGTGTGTGTTGTGTTGTGAGGCCCAGCCTGAGTGGACCAGCTTGTGTCCTCAGGCAGGATTCTGCATTTCTGTGGGGCAAGGGGGATGCTGCAGTTTCTCTCTAATGGATTATATTCTCAAACTGCTTTTGGTGGCCTCGTGGAGGGGTGGAGGAGTCTTCATTTGGATTTAAGGCGAGGTAAAGAACAGCACAGGATGGGAGTGCAGGGTGGGGTCAGAGAGCCGTGACTCTGTCACTGAGGAGGGCCTCTGCTCTGTTCCCAAGACAGGACAGCATTTCATTCAGCAGGTGGCCAGGTGTCTGCTCACCACTTCAGCTGCACAAGAGAGACGCTTAGCAGGCAGGAGAAAGCTACGGCAGTGGACCACAGACCACGGCACACGCAGCAGGCTCCCGGCCACTCTAGCTGGGAAGGTGTCCTCGAGGGCGGCGTCTGGTCATACCCCACGTGACACCAAGTTCACTGGTTTAACCAGCTTGTTTTCTGTTTCTTCCAGGTAACTGTCAGTTCCTGAATTCCCACGGCTGGTGACTAGACTCACACACCAGCACACGGTGGGGCCAAGGAGCAGGAGCAGTGGCCCGAGTATCAGTGGCCCCTGCAGGTACCAGGATGTGGTAGTGTATTTCTATAAAAAAATAGTTACATTTTGATTAAAGACTTGGGGAAACACCTATTTTGAAAAAGACTTCCTTCAGAATTCATAAAAACAATTTTTTAAACGTTAAGGACAATCTAGCTTCTACTTAAAGAGATAAACAATGAGCTACAGAGAACCCCAGGATTTCCACACGGTGACCAGAAGTTTCAAGACCTCCTTCCCCACCCCCTCTAGCTTGGTCCTATCCTACAACGGAAGGACCCAACATTGCCATTTTGTTTTTTTTTTTTTCTTCTCAGTCCTCAGAGTTTACTCTTTGTTCAGGAACAAATTCTATTTTATAGAATATCCAGCTTTGGAAAATTATTACATGCTCTGTAAACCCAAGTATTAAAGGCTAATAACTTGACATTTTGATTTCTCAATAGTTCTGTTCAAATTCCTTCATTTTCTTCTGTTCATGCTCTTCAGTTGTGGGTGAGTGGATGAATCAGAGAGGCTTTCGTCTTTAAGCATTTTGCTTTTAGCTACCAGAGAAAGATTCTATTACCGTGCTTTAAGGAAACGACCTTAGCTTTAGTTGGTGGTCTTAGAACCAGCACCTCAGTCAGAACGTGCTCCTGGTGGGTGCTCCTCTCCTCCTCCTGGCTGAGGCCCACTGAGTGTCTGACATACCCACATATTCAGTGGGCATGGGTGTGGGTGTGGGCCTGGGGCTGGTCAGAATGCAGCAGCATGTGCTGCTGAAGCTGCCCCTGGTCCAGCTCACTTGAAACTTGTCGTCAGGAACACAATAAGCCACCTTCTTAGGTTTCTTGCTGCTCTCCCTACATTAAGATCATGTATAATCAAAACACAACAAAGGACATGGAATTGCTAAGGTTGGAAAATGTGGATAAACTGGGAGATGGAGGGAGGGCTGTTTGTCACCAACTGTCATTCCACTGGAATTTCAGGTGGACATTCTGGCTGGCTTCAAATCAATGGAAGTCCCTGTACATTATGCCTGGATGGATGAAATAGAACATGCACTTACGGAACATCATTTCATAGAATGATCATAAGGAGGTGAACTTCCACGGCACCTCTCCAGGCCCACATCCACGCACTGCCACCTCAGGCCACAGCTTCTTTCCTGAACTCAAAGTTACCCCAGATATTGTTCAAGGAGGAGGAAAATGAAGTAGTCCAAGTACAGCCACCTCCGGCCCCCCATGGTGACCAGCTGTCCCCTGAGCAGGCAGACTCCATGGCTACCTGGGGAGATGTGGTGGAGAGGAGACTGTCATCTGGGACCGTCATGGTGCGTGGGGAGCTAACTCCCTGAGGGGGCCTGAAGATGACCATGAGAATACACCTGGCTTACGCCAGTCCTGCAGAAACCAACAAAACACCTCTTGCCCCAAGCCAGTCAGACATGGCCCCTCACATGAGCAGTTGGACTGAAATTTTCCATTCTAATAATTTGTATTGCTGGATAGACACCGTTTACCAGCTACTCCCAAAGCAGGATCCAAGTATGTTTTATTGGTGAGATTCCACCAAGTCTGAATTTGTGCATGTTGCCATGGTGAGCAGGAAATTAAATTGGGATACAGAGGTGCTATAAATAAGACACCTTTCTCCTTAGGTTCACTCTTGGTGCAATAAGCCCATAGCTGCTGTGCACACAGCGACCAAGCTTCACATACCACACATCCTTCAGACCAAGGTAGCATTGGAAGGACAGGAAGAAGGATGGACAGATTCCACACAGAGAGGGCCACAACCGAGTCCATGTAATTCTTTTATATGTGGCCTAGAGCGATGGTGCTCAGAGCGTGTTGCTGCGTGACGAGTTTGGTACCAAGTCCCCGAGGCCCCAGGCTGACAATCTGAACGGGAGAAAGGTGTTGGCCACGTTGCTCTGGGTCCCGGTGACGATTCCTGAGCATAACAGAGCCTGGCTCTCATCTCTGCCACCTGGAACACGGAGTCCGTGTCTCGTCCCTCACCGAGCTTGCAGGTATGTTGTGAAGACAAACTGGACGGTGGTTGCAGGTTGCGGTCTCGGAGGCCCAGAGCAGAGTGCAGTAAGCGCAGCTCTAGCTGGTACTTTCAGGGTTGGATTTCCCCTACCAGACTCTCTAAAGGGAAATGTAAAGAGGGAAAGGGCACCGCTGGGACCGTGGCAAGTGCTGCCAGGGTGCTGGGGACTAACTCGGGCCAGACCTAAATGGCTTCAATCCCTTCCAAAAATGAGAGTTGATTTCTCTTCTCAGCGGCAGGTGTGAGGATAATGTGAACCTCCCAAGGCTTTCCAGATGGTGTTAGACTCAAACTGCTTTATGTTCTCGCTTAGGTACTGGAACCTCACAAACAAACCTGTACCCTCCAATAGGAAAGTATCAGGGAAGCTTCAAAATAGAGCCTCATCTTGCAGGGAGCTGGCCCCGTCCTGCAGGAACTGTCAGTCTGGTGGGCTCTGGGGGGCTTGCCATGTCAACTAATGACGGCTCCATCTTCTCTCTTTCTTTTTTTTAAATGTCACCCACTGGGCTGTGACATTGGGTTGAAAGACAAGTGTTTTTGTAGTCTCTGCAGTTGGATTGCAGAATCAGAAGAGATGGAGTTGGGAAAGACAGAGGTGGGGGAGGACAGGCCACCGGGCAGCACAGCCCCGATGACAGAGAGAGCGAGCTGTCCTTTCAAACTCAGAGACCTTTCTTACGTTAGGTTTTTGTTATCAGTACAGTACATAAATATCACACTCAGGTTTGTCACACCTCCCCTCGACAGGCCACTACATACCCATAAAGCACCTACCTACCCAGTTGCACATCATGGGTGCTGGGTGGAGTCACTGTGCCTCAGGGGAAAGGAAGGGCAGTTGCTAGGGAGGGTCTTCAATCCTGCCATTTGAGGGGGATTGTTTTGCAGGCCCCGTGGAGCTCTGGTCTTCCCTGGGGAGACTTCGGCTGGGCAGTGTGCCTCAGGTCAATGCTGGGATACTGTGCAGTGTTAGTCGTCTGGTCCACTGGGGTCTTCTGGTTAGCACGTCTCTGAGTACCACCGAGCTTGTCCTGTGGTTAGAAGTTCCACATTCCTGACAGGTGTGACCCACCAAACTGGAGTCGACGGAGGCAGAGCCTGTACACAGGCCCCTGAAGTTCACGATCACAGCGAACTCACAACCGCGTTAGCCTAGAAGCCAGGGGTGAAGTCCCTGCTGGTTGAGCAGGACGGTCACACCCTCTGAAACCTAGCCGTGATTGACCACTGTCCCAATGTTGGGCCCACACCAGTCCATGTGCGCACGACGTGTTACAGACTGTAGAATACAGAGCTGTGTTTAGAAGGGACTGTGAAAGGGCTGATGGTGAAGTGGAATTTAGGGACTGTCAGGCATATGCTTATCATTGACCGGAAAACAGCCCACGGCAGAGGGGACAGAACTGGGTCTTTGAATGAAGATAGAACTAACTGGGTTTTAACTCTGCTGCGTGCCTGGCTGGTGAGTTTGGGCAACTTCCTGCACGTCCTGCGCTTTGGTCTTCCTCATCTCTAAGGCGAATGACCAAGCTGGGACTTGAAACAACAGTGATTTCAGTTTTGAGTGGAAGTGAGGATTAAAGGAAATCATTGCAGATGGCCCCCCCAGGAAGCCAGAACACAGTGGCTGTCCCCAGGATGAATAAATACCGTCATATAGACTTCCCTTAACTGCCACGTGTCGGCAAGGTGGAGAACACACACACACATGCGTATGTGTAGGAAGCTACTTCAACACTACATATGAGTTAGGGATCAGTTTTATCCCAAATAATGAACTGATATGTAAGGAATAAAAAAAAAACTGCCTGCAGGTAAAACCAACTTTACATGCATGTGCTTAACATGTTTGTAAGATAGCAAACCATCAGCCTATGGTTGCTCTTCAATACCCTGTTTTTGGAACCAAACCCCAACTGCCCACAGATACGACTGGATAACCCTCCTGGAGGACCCGTGGTCTGGCACATCTTGCCCTCGTGCCAGCAGGAAAGCTCCTTTTTTGATCTTGTGCTATGACTTTAAGGTCCTGGCTAGCTTATTCTTTATTATTAGAGGGTATTTTAGACTGCAGGTGATTTTCTTTAGAGCAAGATTCAGCAGCTCCATGAGTCTGAGCTGACTTGTGTAGAAAGAAATATGTTCCAGAAAAACCCAGGGCTGGTCTCTGGGCGCTGCTGACTCTCTGGCTGAGTCCTCTCTCCCTCTTCTCAGAGCAACTCAGTAGCTATTTTGCAAACACCTGTTCAATGTTCAGTTAGGATAAGGTCTGAGGCTATTCCCGAGCTTGGTAAATGTTAAAAGGAGCAAAAACCTGGCAGCCTTCTGAAGCTGACAGCAAGCTCAGGTAAGATGCTAGCTTCCGGGTCTTCGCACCGTGGGTTGGGTTCGCACTGTGGGTCGGGTTCCCACCGAGAGTTGGGTTTGCCCGTGGGTCAGGCTCGCTCAGCCTAAATGGATTTGAACCCTCCACCCTGCCCTTCTTGCAGTGATTCTCAACCAGGGCAACTTGAACCCAGGGGACTTTTGAAAATGTTGAAGACATTTCTGGTGGTGACCTGGGCATGGTGCTAGGGGCGAGGACACTGCTAATAGCCCAGGACGCCCCCACCCCCCACCCCAGCAGAGAAGCCTAGTGCTCGGGCATTCCAGTGCTGAGGTCGCGAGGTCCCGCTTAGGAACAGACGACTGACCCTGGCATACATCAGCATCTCCTGTGTCCAGTGTCCTCCAGACCAAAAGAAAGTGTCTTTGGGCAGAAATGACTACAAATTTCGTGGGTCCCAGTGCAAAATAAAAATACAGGGGTCCTTATCAAGCAGTTATTGGTAATGCAAGGCCCCGGGGGGGCTGCACGAGTCCCGCACTCACGAAGTGGACAGTTTTGGGTTTGCCCCAGGTGTTAGCAGTTTCCAAAGCTCTTCTGGGGAGTCCAGTGTGCAGCCAGGTCCACATCTGTGTCCTGCGGCACTTGTCACCTGTGCCCGTGTGTGGTACAGTGGCTGGTGTGCGTCCACGTATGGCCCAGAATGGCCCCTCTGTTTCTGGACATAGAGCTCCCAGTTAGGAGAGGCTGAGGGTCCTGGCTTCCATGTTACACCTCGTGTCATCTATCAGGAAGTCCTGCATGAGCACATGAAGCTCTCCAGCGGCTTCAGCGTCCGTGACAGCGCTTGCTCTTCACTCAGTTCTCTTGGTTGCAGGGCAGGTGTGTGCAGAACCGGAAACCAGCTCAGAGAGGGTCAGTGCTGGTCCACGGCACATCCCTGAAAGTGGCAGGGCAAGGCCTGCGGTCAAGTCTGCTGATGACCAAGCCAGGATGATTTCCCACACACTGTGGGAGCTTTGACACCTTTACACCAGGTTCCAAATGTGGTGTATGTGTCCCGTTGGTGGCATGTGGCATGACTGGTGGCACCAGGAATGAATTGATTTATTTATGTATGTGCTTATTTATTTACGGTACTGGGGACTGAACCCAGGGTTGCTCTACCACTAAGCCACATCCCCAGCCCTTTTCATTTTAAATTTTGGTGACAGGTTCTCACTAATTTGCCCAGACTAGTCTCAATCTTGTGATCCTCCTGCCTAAAATATTTGTTTACTTATTTAAATACATATTGGGGGGAGAGTGCATCAAACACGGGGTTTATAATATAGCTGCAGAAAAGGTTAGACCCAAATTATAAAAGTAAGTTGATTTAAAGAAAAAACATCAAGCAACTAACAGCAGAGAGTTTGGAAAGACATGACAGAACTCGAGGATTATCTAAGAGTGTTTTGAAAGCTTTGTGATATCGAACAAAATGCTAAATCATTGCTGTCATTTTTGGGTTCCCCTCCCTTGAAACTCAGCCTCATGTAGCCTCCATTTCTCTCCAACCAAATCTTGGCGTATTGCTGGGCTCTGGTAGGTACCAGACGCCAGGAGGCCACGGAGGGTTGAAAGAGAAGAAAAACGTGTGGAATGGGATCTACATATCCCCTATTTCTGGCTTAGCTTTCCTCTCATTGTATTTGTGAGATTTTAAGGTGAATTCCAAAGTTGTCTAGAAACAATGACTTGGGACTTCATCCCAATGATGAGTCCAGTCTGCCGGGGACGTACTCAAAGTGCAGTGTCACAGGAGCCGTGGGTGCTGCCTGTTGGACGCAGTGAAACGAGAGGCTCTTGGACCAGCGGAGACGTCCCTGTTAGTGTGCAAAGTAGGCTCCAAGTGGACGGAGGCGTGTGGGGAAGAGGAGGGGAAGAAGCGGGTCTGAAGGGACTCGGGGCGGGGTTGGACTAGGTTCTTAGTTTGTCTGTCACTTCTCATCCTCTGTATGGTGGGCCTAGATGACCAACTCAGGAGCTATAAGGGAACCTTCACAGTACACTTGCACCCAAAACATGCCAATTCCGCCAGAGTCGGACACTGTTTTCTTGATGTCACTGGGTGCGGGACCAGATGCTTATTTCATGAACGACAAGGTAACTGGACACTTCAGTGGGGGCAGAGAGGATGAAGTAGTGGACGTCAGGATGCCATGGGCAACCAGGGGAGCTGAAGGGCAGGCAGGTGCTGAGCAGGGGAGAGGGTGGCCTGGAGGACAGGCAGCATTGCACTGAGGCTCCCCTGCTGTCCCAGGACCACCCAGAGAAGGGCCGTGTCATGGAGTTGGCCTGGCCGCTGGGCTTAGGATGGACACGTTAGTGGAGGCATCCCACAGCAGCAGTGATGGGTGGTGGGCGACGGCTCGCCTCCTCCCTGTTGGCGCTGCAGAATCCTGACCCACTCAACTCCTGATGGGCTGCGCCTTTCAGCCCTGCAGCCCTGGAAACAGGGTGGACAGGGTTCCCTAAGTGGGGTCCCTTTCTCCCAGTGTCTCTAGGAAGGCTCTCATTGATGTGTAGAACAGAACGTCCATTTGCATAAGTAAAGGGTAGGGAGGACCCATGGCTGCGGGTGTTTACCTCTGAGAAGGGATCTGTGGCTCCTGGGGACAAGATGGGCTGTCCTCTTATCTGTACACTTCAAACATTGTTTTAAAAAATGTTTACATGTATTGCGCTGTTACCTGTGCGCTGTGTACACTAAAATGCATAAAGTATCTTACACAAGATTATGTATCCAATACAGGGTTTTATAGTTCCATTTCCACTGTGTAGACTGGTTACAGTCTTTATGTCCAGTATAGACCTGGAGATCTCCATGCCAACACTGAATATCTGTGTGTATCCGTGTGTCCATGGTTCCGTGTGTGTGTGTGTGTGTGTGTGTCCATGTGTCCTGTGTGTGTCCTTGTGTGTGTGTGTGTGGGGGGGGGGTTAGAAGTATAGAGAAATACAGTATAGGAAGGAAGAGCTCAGAGCTGCCTTGATAGAGAGACTTTAAACATTGTCACACTATTGACGTGCTAGCTGCGAAGCTGAGAATCCGGGGCACCCACCTGTGAGAGTCTGTCATCCTGGGAGGCATCCCGACCCCACTGCAGGTAGCCAACGTCACTGCGGGCCAGGACTCCGTGCAGCAGTTCCTGAGCCTCCCCTTTCTCACAACCATTGAACACGTTGGGACTTGCTCTTCCAGTGAGAATCATGTTCAGAACAGCCTGGGGAGTTGCATGATTCACAAACACATTTTAGGTGGCAATGAAATAAGGATTTAATTTTTTAGTTTTAAAAATTATTAAAAATAAGCATTTTTACTGAAAAAAATGAAGCCATGCAATACATAATTCTAGATAAACATGTCTTAATCATTTGGCAGAGCTAAAGCCATAGTCCATTGCCTTCACCCCCCCAGCCCCATCTTACCTGGAACCCCCTCTGAACTTACTAACCTCCTCCCTTTACATTTCTTTTAAACTTTCCTTTCTGATGTTAGGGATTCCTGGTGAGTCCTATTAAGACCCTTTCTGATGTTTCTAGAATCACGGGGTCCTGGAGCTTTCAAGGTAACTAGGGAGGATTGAAACAGGAACCGGACGGCAGCACCTGACACAGACTCAGTTCACCATCTTCTCGGGCTCTAGAAGATAACGATGTGATGTCTCTTTGCTGAAGGAGCGAACGAGCTCACTTGGAGAACAAGCCTTCGTCAGATTCTGCAATAGAAGGGCAGAGTCTACCCACGCACCTGCCTGCACAGGAAGCCTCCAGCGCTGGGCTGTAACAGATGCGGGGTGGTTGAGTCCAGGTCCTCCTGAAGCCTGCAGGAGGGGAGAAGCCATCAGCACGTGGCCAGTTGACAGCGGCCCCGGGCAGAGCAGCAGTGATGAGGCCCTGGTCACTGTCCCTCCCGTGCCTTGCACACTCCAACGTCCTCCAGGGAAATCCTAGGCTGGGACTGCAAAGTCGGGGAGCTGTGGGTGCAGATGGGGCGTGTGGCCAGTGGCAGGGGAGAAGGGAACAGACACAGATGTCCAGCACTGTAGAACCCCTGTGTCGGGCTCTGATTGAATGCTGGGCTCACTAGGGAAGCTGTCTGTGCTGTGTGACAAGGACTCCTGGCTCCAGGTGGTGACACATGACCACGCCAGAAAGTGCTGGCCCAAGGCAGGGCTGAACATGCCGTCCCAGTGGAAGCACCAGAGAGGCTGGGGAGTCCATTTCTGGCTGTAGAAGGGCAGGGGTCAGGGCTGGGAGGGATCGGGGCTGGGAGGGGTCCAGGTACAATGCGGCTCCTGCTGTCTCCCAAGGAGCCACCGAGTACTGATATGGGAGTTGTATGTGTCCTTGGATGAAGCTACTCATGGAACTGGAGGTCATGCCCAGAGGACGTGGGTCAAGGCTGGCCAGTGTCTCTGTGGTACCAGATATAACTCTGGGCAGTGTTTTTAGATGGGGCAGATATGAGCACTTAAGACATTTAATAGTGATGTGTTTATTTTAGTGCTTTATCTTTTATTTATTAGTCTAGGCAGATATTAGTGGATAGAATGTTAATGTTTAGGAACAGGTTAATATTTAAATGGGTGTTAATTTAAATAAAATTGTTAAGCAAATAATAGCACAGACCACAAAAATGTGATAGTGGAAAGTAAAAGACAAGTTTCAAGAACACCACTTCCGGGCTATCAGCCTCCCTCCTGGGCCTCTCCTCTATGACCCAGAAAGCCTCCCTGGTGCCCTGGCAGCGGGCCTCCCCTCTGGAACCCACACCCACACTGTCTTCACACCGTGTCGCCCGTCAGGAACCACTTTGCTGCCCCCCCAAGCCTAGCTTTGCCCTTCCTGGGGAGCCTGCAGGAAGTCAGGCTGTGTCTTTTCTTATCTGTGCTGCCCACAGTACCGCGAGCAGGGCTTTGTATGCCACCGAGACAGAGTGGATATCCGAGGGCGTATTTACTGTGGATCTAAATAATAAAACCCATGTCCTCTACTGAGGGTCTCTGCTTGCCCCGCCACACGGCTGAGCCAGCCTCCGGAAGGACATGTCCTCAGAAGAGTGAGCCCTAGGAAACGACGGCGCTCATGGGAGTGCTTTCCATCCCAAGGGCACGGCGATGTGGCTCCGCTTCTGCACCAAACACCTGGGGCACAGCAGCATTTACCTCTGGAACGTCCTGGACAAGATCAGGCTGTAAAGGAACAGGACAATGCCGCGACTCCCTTCCCCTTTGAACTGTTTGGGAAACAAAAGAGAAGCACTTTGGTCCAGGAACACAGCAGTCTTGTGTCCCTGTGGGCATAACGTCTGCTGCTGAGACAGGGCCTCCCGCTCTGGAACTCCACTCTCAGGGGCAGCCTCCCTCCTCAGCCTCCTTCCTGCCGCAGCCAATGGTACCACCAGCCTCCCGGCCCCAAATGCTCTCTTTCCCACCTTTCCAAGGTGACGCTCTTCCAATCCTGCCCAGGCCCTGGGTGCTGTCCAGACTGGCCTGCCTCCCTGCCCTGCCTCTCCTCACTGGCTGCGTCCCTCTTTACAGAAACAGAGTCACACAGGCCTCTCTCCTACTACCTACTCCTAAGTATTGACTTCTCTGATCTCCAGTCTTCTTTAGTTTTGTCTGCAATCATAAGAGGAAAAAAAAAAAAAGCCAAAAACCTTTCCCTGGATCTGTTGCAAAGGTCAAGTGAATTAATGAATGCACAGTGCCTCTCTTCGTCTTGGGTCATTCCAGCTCCATAGAGAGGTCAGTATTTGCCCCGCTTTAAGGCACTTCTCTCTTTTCTGGGCTGCATTACTGTTCGGCTCACAACTCCTTGAAGATCATTTGTGACCTCTGGGATCATATCCCTCTGCCTAGCCAACGTCCAGGGCCTCTCCTGAGCTGGCCAGTGTCCATCTTCTGCCTGCAGCACGGCTGCTTGTTGGCTGGCTTTCCAGGTGCCCAGGGTTCAGGCCCCCCCTGTAAAGCCGTTGCCTCAAGAAGGGACCTGATGAGACACACGTGCTTCCCCTCTGTGGATTAATTTGCTCACCTTGCTATCTATGACCTGGCAGGGACCAGGACCCTCAGGCAGGAGAACAAATTCCAGCGCTACCAGAGTCAGTCAGGAATTCCAATGACTGTACCACGAGAGTGTGGGAGAAATGGGCAGGGTGGGGCCTGAGGCAAGCTGGAAAGACCCGTGTGTTAGCTTTCTGCTGCCACCTCTGCCATGGTGGCTTAAAGCCACATGAATTATGCCCTGGGTCCAGCATGGGTCTCAGTGGCTACACTCATAGTGACAGCAAGCCTGTGTTCCCCTGGGATGCTATAGAGGAGAGCGGGTTCTTCGCCTCGTTGGGCTTCTGAAGCTGTCTCCCTCCTTCCTTTCGAGGAAGCCTACGATGAGTCAGGCCCATCTGGGACCCAGAGAGTCTCCCCATCTCAAGGTCCCTAATCGCGTCTGCACAGTTCCTTTTACCATCTAGGGGACATTCAGGAGGTTTCTGGGGCCTGGAAGTGAGCAGCGCTCGCCTGTCGCAGTTCATCTATCAGGGCGGGCTGCCTCCACCTCTCCACCAACTGAGAATCATATAGGATCAGTGTGGCCAGATTTTCCAGAAAAAAACAAAAAACCCGAGTTCTTCTGTGGGATTTCCTGATTGTTTTTTACATTTGCTGATTCAAAAGTTGGCAGCACAGCCTTGGGCCATCCCAAAGCGTGTGGAATAGGTGTGATCATTTCCTAGGAAGCACTCGCGTGGTTACCTTGTGGTGTCCCCTGTGTATCTATCTGTATCCAAAGTTTAAATCCTACAAACATCAAAGTCATTGGAGTACTATCTACCCCAACCCTAACCCAGAACAAGCTCATCTGAACCCGATTACATCTGCAAAGACCCTATTTTCCAGTAAGATCACATTCCCAGATACTGCGGGTTGGAACTTCAATGTATTTCGGAGGAGACACAATCCAACTGGTGACAGTAGGCCACAGGCCTCCAGATGGAGATCCAGGCCTGTGCACTGGGACAGAGGATGGATAGTAGCGATGGATTTGGTTGAGTGAATGGTGGTGGTCACAGTGAGAAGGCAATATGCCTGTCCCCAAGCTCTCCTCACCCAGAAAATGTTGCCAGCCCTTTCCTAGGGGCTGAGGTGACCGCAGCCTGGGTGGGTTCCACACAGGTGGCTGTCCTGCCACACCCACCTGCAGGGCAAAGTCCCCTCTGCTAAGGGCCCTGGGCCAGTCTGCAGAGCTCCAGCTGTGTTCCTCGGATGCCACCCAGACCACACTTAGGACTCCTGGCAGATGTGGGGACTTGCTGAATGTCCCCCAGGGGTCAGTAGAGGAGGTGAGAGAAACAAAGAATGTCCTTACCAGTTTTTGCTGAAAGGGTCCCTTCTTAAGTGGGTCCTTTGTGTGCGTATAACTCTATCCCCGTCTCCTGTCCTCAACCCGGTATCCCTAAGCTGGCTCCTGGCTCAACATTTCATGTCAAGGGATCAAAGTCGATCATAAGGTTTTCCGGGTTGCATTTTGCCGCTGTAGCAATTACCATAAATTGAACAGCTTAAATCGGGGCTCGGGATGGAGTTTGGTGATAGGGTGCATGCTCAATGCCCCGTACCAAATAAAACAAAATGTGAAATTAAATAAAACCAAATGTTGTGTCATAGCTGCGGAGGTCACTGAAACGGGTCTAAGTGCACTGAAATCACGGTGTCGGCAGGAGAGCACGCCCTCTGGAGACTCCCTTGTCCTGTCCTGGCCCTGGCCTGTCCTCCTGGACACCCGTGCACATGCCTTGGCTGGGGCCCCACTTGCACGTTCAGCGAGGGCGACGCTCTTCTCAGCACCTTGCGGACTTCCTATCCCATGTGAGGACCCTGTGGCTGCCTGGGCCCACTTGGGTCATCCAGAATGACCCCTCTATCTTAAAGCCATCGGACCAGCCGCGGTCACTCTCCTCTGTCATGTAATGTGCATATTCACAGGCTCTGGGGGCAGGGGGTGGACACCTTTCTGGGGACCATCCTGCCAATCACACAAGTGAACAGCAGGCCCATGAGAAGGGGGGCAGGTGGGCCTGGGCAGCTGGTCATCCAGACCATAGAGCTATAAGCCACTCGTGGCCATAGCTCCCCGTGTTGGCCTCCTCAGCCTTCCAGGGAATGGAGACCACAGTCCCCTCTCCACTCACCCCCACAGGCCTCGGGGTCCATTGCTGTTCTGCTGACTCCCTGCTTCCCGCACACGGTAGGTCTCTGATTCTTCAGGTAATTGGCTTTCGTTTCTTTCTCTGCGGAGTCTTTGAGAGGCCCCTTCCCTCTCCTCCTGCTGCCTCCTGGTCTGTGCTCCCGCCCTCCCCGGGGTGGGGGCTGTGGGAAGAGGTGAGGGGCCACCTTAAGGCCAGTCATTTACCCGAGGCAGCGTAGATAAGGGCCTTCCCTAGTTTTCTACCATTTCTGTTTTTACCCATCGGATTAGGAAAGACTGAACAAAAGACATCCTGGCCCATGCCCTCAACATTACTGTGCTCTGGGTTGATTAGCCAAGGAAAGGGGCCGTAGTGAGCGGGTCTCCGTCTGATCTGACCTCTTTCTAGGTTGTGGGGAGGGAGAAACAGGCTTCTTCCACTCATCCCGCCCTTTCCCAGCCCTCGGAATGACCTGGTTTTCTTAACGAGCATCATTAGCAATGTGCCTCGGAAGAGAAAGAGGATCTCTGTAGGGTGGTCCAAGGCAAAGGCACCACCGCAGCCCTCAGACACTTACACTCTCCAAGTGATCACTGATGAATTTCTCAGCCGCTTCCTTCTCTGAAAATTCAAACAGCTGAAGCTACAAATCAGGAACAGGAGATAACAATGAGGAAGAGGAAGGTGCCTCCAAGGGACGCCAATTCTCTATCATTTCCTCGAGGGAGATCTTTGTTTCGTAGCGAGATCACATTGCCATATGGACATGTTCTTACACAAGGCCACGAGACACACCCGGGGATGGGTGGCCACCGCCGTCGCCCTCGGAGTGCTCAGTTTTAAGCCCACGTGATTTTCGAGCAGTAAGACAATAAAGAGATTTTCCCCCATAGGAAGGATTCAGCTATCTTTAGGATGATGGATATGGACATTCAGGGATGGTGATTTTGAATTATCTGGAAGGAAATTCTCTTTGGGACCCTCCACTTTCGCCGCTTGGGTCATTATAGCTCTGGGCACTCTCCTCTTTGGGGTGCCTCTTGCCACAGCAGGCATGTCCAGGGGCATCGAAGGTCTCCATTTGGTCTCCATGGACGCCCTGCGCGTGGTGGGACTGCACTTACCCTCTCGGTGAAGTTGTCCCTGGAGTAGTCAGGAGTCCAATCAACATAGGTGTCCTCGGTAACCAGGCAGACAACGGCCTTCTGAGCGGCTCCTGAGACCCACAGAATGTCAGTCAGCACGGTGGCCAGGGCTCGCTCCTGCTGCTGCCTGCTCAGGTCCTGTAAACTGCAGGAGGGGGAGGGAACAGGCACAGGGAACAGCGCCTTGCTATGTGTGAGGTCCCCAGGGTCATGCCCCCTCTGCACACAGCAGCATCGCCTGGGCTCCTTCACCAGCCTGCTCCCGAGCTGTGGCTGCAACTGGAGTCCTCACAGCAGGGTCTGGTTTCTCTAGGGATCTCAGCCAGTCCACCTCCTGTGTCTCACCCAGTAGGGCCTTTGCTGTCCTCTGTCCTGAGCGACAGCAGGGGTCAGCCTGAACACTTCAGCCCACTGACGGGCCTTTTTCAAGTGCAACGCCCATAACCTCTCTTTTGCAAAGCCTCTTCCAGGACTGGCCAGCCTGGACCTGCTCTCCACTTTCATCTGTCCTGTCCTAGCGGCATAGGAGGTCTCCCCCAGATGGGCCTGCACTCTCTGTATTCCTGCACTAAGCACTTCCTGTATGTCACCTTGTCTGGTCGCCTAAGCCTCTAGGGCACATACCACTGCTGCTCCCACAAAAAGGCACAGAGAGGTTAAGTAACTCGCTGCTGTTCCCTCATCTTTAAAGTGGGGGAGCAATGACTTGAATTCAGGCTATTGGGGTCCTGAGTCCCTGCTCCTCACTGTTCCACTGAGTTGAGTGCCCTTGAGGACACACCTTCCCAGGAAATGGGAGCCAATCTTCTATGAGACGTCACTCTGCTTACTTTCTACATGTGTGACATTGACAGGTGTGGCCTATACAGAGGGACACACGGCCGTGGCTACAGTGAGCTCGATGATAATTTACACAATCCTTCTAGCTCTGTGGCAAGGCACAGATTTATGACAAGGAGTCTGAGGGCCCAAAACTCTAGCACAGAGCGGAATGAGAAGAGGACAAAGTGTTATGAGGTAAGGGGGAGGGCAGAGAGAGGCTTGCGCAGGGGGCAGAAGCTCCCTGGAAAGTGACCCTTCACAGTTGTTCAGTTTACCACAGACTCAGTGCTGTGCTAAGTGCTTTACGTCATGTAGCAACTGTGTGTGTGTATGTGTGCATGCCTGTGTGCTGTGTGTGCATGTCTATGTGCATGTGTGCATGTGTATGTGTGCGTGTATGCATGTGTGTGCGCACATTCATACACACACAGCTCAGTGTGCACATGTGTGTACATGTCTGCGTGTGTGCATGCGCACATATGTGTTCATGTTTGCATATATGCATGTGTATATGTGTGTGCATGCTGTGTGTCTGCATATGTGCACGTACACATGTGTGCATGTGCATATGTATGCATGTGTGTGCATGTATGTGCCTGTGTGCATGTGCACGCTGTGTGTTTGTATGTGTGTGCATGTGTGTGCTGTGTGCATGTCTGCATGTGTGTGCGTGTGTTCACGCGTGTGTACCCATGTGTGTGTGGTGTGCATGTGTGTGCATGTGAGCATGTGTGTGTACACATGTGTATACATGTGTGCTGTGTGCATGGCTGCATGTGTGCATATGTGCATGTGTTCATGCATGTGTACACGTATGTGTGTGTTCATGTGCCCACATGCCCCATCTTCACTCCCTGGGTCCCCCCATTTGGCACTGGGTGCATTCCCCAGACACTTCGGGTCCTACTCTAGTGGCTTCCACTTTTCATCCTCCTCCAAAGGATTGGAGCCGCCTGGTCCACAGGTGACTGGGAGGGGTGCCCATCCCTGTGGCTGGCTGGGAGCCAGGGCTGGCTGGGCAGGAGGCGCCCCCTCCCTTATCTGAAGGTGGGGCAGGCTGCGTTTGTGCCCAAGCTCCCCCGGCGTCGGCCGGCCTCCCTGAGAGCCACGCTCTTCCTCAGCTGCTCCTCTCTTGCCTGTTTCTCCTGCTCTCTCACGGGGCTCTCTGGAGGGCACACCCAGAATAAATCACCGACATAAAAATCCCCACTGTGTGCCGTGCTTCTGCGGGAGGGACCTGGCAATCCGTGACCTTAGAATACATTATATATTTTGTTCCTGGTGGGGATGACTCATCTAGCCCGAGGGCAGATATTTGCCTTTTACTGATTTCCATTTCCTCTGATACACAGCACAGGGCTCTCTGCACATGATGGGGGGCGGTTGTTAACCTCTAAGAATAACGTCAGTTTGAACAAGTTTTGAGCTGATTTTAGTAAATAGGAACTATTTTAGTAAATAGTAATCACGGTCCCTTGTCAGACTGGTAAAGTAGGAGGATGGAGCCTTCATTCACCAGGTTTGAACCACCTCCGTGGTTCCCCCTAGAATTGTTAAGATTACGGCTTCCCATCAAGTATGGACAGGTGAGCTCACCTGAGACCTGGGGCATAATTTTGCCTGACAGGGTGGTCCGCAGTGGAGCATGAAACCTGTCAACCTCATTCCTGCCGCTGGACATTGAAGGGACGGCAGGAGGCCCCCCATCCCAGGGCTGCAGCCCAGCCCCTCTGGGGGAGCTGATCACGTCTGCCTTCTGCTTTAGGAGCACAAGTCCTTCCTGAGGCCACCCGCCCTGTCCAGTATGCTTATTTAGCATATTAAGGTCTCCATGAAGCTGGTCACTGTTCCGCACTGCTCACAGTGCTCTTACCTGCGAAGGTGGCAGTCTCTTTCCCTCCTGGTAAACAAGAGATGTTTGATGATGGACCCTTGTACAGCCATCTGAATGCTCCGGGGGCCTCCCTGGGACGGGGAGGGTGAGCAGTGAGGGCGAAGTTGTGCGATGGGCTCTACCACTGCAGCAGAACCATGGGATGGCAAAGAGCCCCTGGGAGTGGACCTGGTTCTCCATCCTGCTCTGCATCCCACCCCCTCCTGGTACCCCAGGGCTTCATGAAGGGACACTGCTCTGTCCCCGTGCACCCCTGCCCTTTGCTGTAGCAGGGTACCGTGGCTGGCTAGAATCTGCAATGACTTGTAGAGCCCCCAGACAGGTTCCTGGGAACCTGTTGCCCCCCATCCTCCCAACACTCTGCCCCTGCTTCTAGTCAGACTTGCAGACTCGGAGCAGGCACACAACTAGCTGGCCAGGCCTGGGAACGTGGGTGTGCCTGTGACCACACAGGAATTGTTGAGACTTCAAACAAGCCAGAGGGAAGTTTGTAGATTTCCCTCTGCTTCTGAATCTTCAGGGATGCTTAGAATTTGGGAAGAAGAGACAGGAGAACAAGGAGGTGGGGACTCTATCATAACTAGGCAGTATGTGGTGAGGTTGAAGTCTTTTATCATTTGAGGTTACATTTCAAATTGTGCACGTGTGGTTGTGATGAAAACATGGTTCATGCCCACACAGAGGGAAGGAGAGAGACTAGGGATCTAACAAGACCACCATCTGGCTGTTACCTTTGCCACTTCCAAAGCAAACGCGAGGTCAGAGAAAGGACTGTGGAACTTGAAATAGGCCTTGTTCCAGTCATAGCTGAAGATGTGGACGGTGTTTCCAAAGAGGCTCTGCCGCAGCTTCTGAAAGGAGAGGAAGTAAACTATCAGCCAAAGAGAGTCCTCCATACACCCTCCTGCCCACAGTCCATGACCAGGTCTCCAGGCACCAAGTGGGGGCAGCACGTTCATATCAGGGTCCACTCAGCATGTCCGACACGCCGTGTCCCTGGTCTCATGTCCCCTCCTGGTCATGTCCCTCAGAGTCCGCCACGTGCTGCTGCTCTGTTCCTGGCCTCTAGCCCCTCTGGCCCTGACTATAACATCTGCTTCTCCTGCCTCTGGGGTTTTCTCTCTTGATCCAGGGGGGAAAAAATAAGGACAGGATGGGACCTCATGTTTGTGGCCTCAGCACAGTAGTGACTCCAGTGAAGTGAACAAGCATTCCTGCTGGGATCTCTGAAGTTGTCCTGGGTGCGCAAACCGCACACTGAGATCTGAGAGGGTCTTTTAGATCTTCCCAGAAAAGTAGGAACAAGTCTTTATCAATGAAACTCATGGAAAATAAAAAAGACAGGGTGGGGGTCCATTCACAGCTGAAGACTTACTCATCTTTAACAGGTACGAGCTACTGTGGAGTGCGGGCAGGTCAAAGTCTGACACCCAAAGTGCTGTACAGGACAGAACCCTGAGACAGAGGGACAGAGACCTTAGGCTGAGTTGCCCAGGAAGGCTTCAGGGAGGAGATGTTATTTGAACTAGGCTGGTGAACAGCCCCTGTCACCTGTTGAGACTTCCCCATGCCAAACCTGGGCTAAGTCCTTTACACTCATTGCATTCACTTGATTCTGTGAAGTAGCTGTGGTACAAGCCTCCTCCCACCAGGCAAGGGAAGCACCTGGCCTCAGGCAGCCCTAGGTGGAAACAGCAGGGGGTCCCACGGTGTCCCACGTCTTTCCCACCATGGTCCTACATGGGCTGACTTTGTGTTTTCTACCATTTTTGTGTGCCAACTACTCCTTAATCAACATCTTTAATTAGGTTGGTGACTTCTTGTGATTTAGAAACCTTATTTTGAAAGGACACTTGATACCGCTTCCTTACATGGAAGTCAAGCTCTCTTGCCATCCATAAGGAACCCAGTGGAAATCAAGCAACTTTATCGATCACAGCAAGAAACCTCTGCTGTGAAAGCTCTGGCCCTCATCACCACTGGGAAGGGAGTGAGAAGGTAAAGGGGTGCAGCCAGGACTGCCCTTTACCCAGTCTTTCCCCTGGTCTGCCCGAGTGCGCAAGGGAGGACACCCTCCCCGGAAACCAAAATCATCTGAGATGCGTTACGTATGTTACATCCCTAAAAGTGCACGTTCCAGCAGAGGCACAGGTCCCCACACTGAGACAGACCACGCAGCAGCCTGAAGCAGGGGGATGGGAAGAGGCTCTGCAGACATTCAGGCAAGTGCCCTGGGCCTCCTGGATGGGGAATGAGAAGTTCAGGGTGACTAGGAACTTGTGGGGGTGGGGTAGGGACAGCTGAGTGGACACTGAGAATGGAAAGTCCCTGTAGCCATACCCTAAAGCCAGTTGAAGAGTGTGAACAAATGGAGCCCAGAGCCCAGGTGGTCCAAGCCGTGCCACCTTCCCAGCAGAGCCCGAGAGCAGCTCTGATTGCTTCTCAAAAGGGGAAACACAGAAACATGCATCTAGAACACTCTTCCCGAGCCAGGCCCAGGTTGGTTTCATGGCTGCAGGTTTCTTCCTGATCATTTTTGCTCCCAGCTCAAAAGAAAAGGTGGTCTCTCCAGAGAAATCAAGGCAGGCGCATCTCAGTGTGAAGAGGACCTGGTCGTGCGCTTGCAGAAAACCTACGCGGCGGTCTTGGGCCCAGGGTGTTGGAGGAGAGGCTCTGGGAGGAGAGACGCAGCGTGTACGGTGGCTGGAGAGGGCCACCAGCCTCCAATGCCCCAGGGAGGGCCTCGAAGATGACAGGAGGGTTTCCCTGACATGATGATGGAACAGCTCGGGAGGACCTCCAAGGGCCGAGAAGCCCATCTCTGTTTCTTACTGGCCCCAGGAACGTGGGGAAATTGCCAAACCTTCCTTCCTTGCTAATTCAGAAGTGGGGACTCCTTCTTGGTCCACATCATGGCTAGGACTGAAGGAGGAATATGGAAAAGGGCTTTGGAAACCCAAGTGCTGAGTGAATGTAAGCGTCGTTGCCTTCGTGAAAACACAGCCTGTCTCTGCGGGGACATCTTGTGCGGTGTGGAAGAAAGTCCCAACACAGATGGAGAAAGACCAGAGATTGGCAGGAAGCAGGGAGGAGAAACCATGCTAAGTGTGAAAGATTAAGACTGTTGAGACTGGAAGCCTGAGAACTCGGATCCAATTTGAAAATTCCTGCAAGCCGTCCAGACTCCTTGTTCTGCTGCCAGCTGCCGCCTTCCACTCAGCTCCGCCCGCCCGCTGCACCTCTGGGAGGCTCCCCAGCCAGGCCACCAGAGGCAAGAGCGAGCCCTCTCACCGCAGGACATTGTTCCACATCATACAAGAAGATCGCCCTACGCAGGTTTGATGGCAGGCCTGTCTGCTGCCCGGGAACAGGAGGCACGTGGTGACTGCCTGTAAGTGACTGGAGCAATCACTGCAGCTTAACACGTCCAGGGACAGTTCACGGTTCCCCCTTTGCGCTTTGTGACACATTCCCCTCTCCTGGCTCTGCCTTCCATGTCACTGTCATGATGACCACGATTGGCATCAACAACACACACACAGAAGATGGGTCCCGAGTCATTCTTCCCAAGAGGTTGAACTTCCTACCCTGACAGTCTTGTCCCTCGTCCCTGGGGTGAGAGTTTCCCACAGCCACCTGTCCCCATCCAGTCCCAACTTGAGTTAGAATAACCCTCGTTGAGGCTTCTTCCCTAGATTTCTCTTTGCCTCATGAATTTGGGACTGCCATGGAATCCGAGATTCTGGAATTCCTGAGTCCTAAGCCAGTCATGCGCTGGGCCATCTGATTGTGTGGTGGAGTCCTGGCTGTCACATTTGTTGTAGCTTCTCAGATTCCAGCATCACCCCTGGAATGTGGAGGGCTGGACGTAAGAATTCGTTGAATGAAAGCATCTCATTTTGCCCTTTCATGTTACAGCTCCAGGACTGGAGGCCCAGAGCAGCGAGTGGCATGCAAGGTCACATCCTCAGAGAGGGCAGGTCTCTGGTGCAGACCAGCAGGATCCCAGTGCCAGGCAGGTGGCACTCTCCAACCAGGATGGTCAGCTGGAGGGAAGTTTAACACGACACCCTCCCCAAGGCTGGGCTGGGTGTGGGGACACCACCGTGCTAATACAGTTTCCTAGCAGCAGTTGGGAGTCATCGTGACCTCTAGACCTAAAGGAGCGTGGGGACAGGAAACAGGAAGGGACTTCCAGGAGAGCAGAGGGACTAAGCCAGCACTAGGCAACCTGGCTCCCTTCCCCACTTGCCCTCAGTCTCCCTGCAGGACTCCCCAGTCTGACCTCAACAGGAGGTCAGAGGAGGAGGGTGCTGCATTGATGGAGAGGACAGGTTAGCCTCCTGGGCTAAGGCAGGTGGAAAGTGCAAGAAGAGCCCCTGTCCTGTATTGATTGATTACCATCCTCTGAGGTCCACTTGGGAGCCAGGTGTCATGTGTAGGGCACCAGGCTCTGTCTCACTGCCCGCTAAGCCACCCCTGCCTGACCTCCTTCTATGACAGCTCTGTTCATATGGTCTCCCAGAGCCATCTTTGGGCATCTTGGTGATACATTTTTACCACGATACTGCCACGGGCTGGTGCTGCAGCTCATGAGGGGTCTGGTCCTTGGTTGCCAATAAGAGTCTGAGGGAAGAAATCCCAGGCTGGGTCTCTAAGAAGGGCTGGGGATGGAGGAGGCTGGGAAAGGGCTTCTGGCGGGGCAGACGCATCCTCTCCATGATCTCACAGGGCCAGCAGCCTTGGCCAGAGCTCCTTCCACCAGCAGGTTGAGGGACAGAAGGAAGCTGCCCAGCTCAGGAGGACAACCCAAGGCAGGAGGTAGGAGCCATGAGGCCAGTGCAGGCACAGGGCCCACTGATGCAGCCTCGGCATCTGAATGGGTCCCGGTGGCCACTGTGTGCCAGGGTCAGGTGTCCCAGGCCCCCCTACTCCCCACGGAGAAGGGCAGGAGGACAAAGGTCTCCCCTGGGCCAGCAGGACCCAATAGCTCTGTAACTTGCCAGGTGGGAATCAGCCAAGCTTCCAAACCTGCCCGGGACAAACATTCAGAACCCCAAGCTCATCATCTGGGAGTCCAGGGCGTGTTTAATTAATGCTGCTGCTATTTAAAGGACATACTATCATCTGGCCCACGTGATGGGAATAAGTCCAAATTCATTTTTTAAAAAAGATCAATTATCTCTACTTCTGGGACATCCCCCCAATTCAGGCTGCAGTGGTCTGGATCTTGTCTCCCCGTCTTTTGCAAAGGGAGAGAATCACCTTGGAAAAGCCACTGGGGAGGTCTCCAGGCACCTCTCTGTGTGTGTTTGTTGGTAAGTGGGAGCATCCAGAGTAGGTCTGCTCTCCTATGGAGAGAAAAGACTTCACAAACATCTGTGAGTGCTTTTCTATTTTTAAGATTTGTGTGTTTTTAAAAATAGAGAGTACATTTGCATGGTTCAAATTCCAGAGTCCAGAACGTACGTTGTGAACACACTCCCTCCTATCCCTGTCTCCCGTACCCTCTGAGCCCCTGTGGTATTTGATGAAATCTTCTGGGATTCATTTTTTTTTAATACACAGGCAAATACCAAATAGAATCATAGTTTTTCTTTTTTCATATAAAAGGTAGCCTATTTTTCAGAGGTGTATTACTTTTTAAATGATATTCTCCATAAGAAATCTGTGCATAAACAAAGAATATATTTTTATGAAAGATTTTTCATTGAAACATTATCAAGTAAAATGCACATAAGAGCTGATTATCCCTCACTGAAAATGCCTGGGTAGAGCAGAGGGAGGATTCAGGGGGAGGGAGGAGGAGAGGGAAGGTGGACATGCTGGGGAGTGAAATTGATCAAATCATGTTATGTGCGTTACGACGAGTATGTCACAATGAATCCAATATTGTCTATAATTGTAATGCACCAATAAGTTTTTAAAAAAGAAGATGCCTGGGGCTGGAAATGTTTTGGGTTTTTGGATTCTGGAATATTTGAGCATACATAGTAAGACCCTCTGGGAATGGGTCCCAAGTCTGGACATGAAATTCACTTATAGTTCAGATGGGCCTTGTACCCACAGCCCAAAGGTAATTTTATATGATATTTTTAATGTACCTGCATTTTGACTGTGACTCATCATAGGAAGTGATGGGTAGAATTGTCCACCTGTCACGTCAAGTTCTTGAAAAGTTTTGGATTTCGGAGCATTTTGGATTTCTGGTTTGGGGTTTATACTTGCTCTGACCTCTGGGCTGCACCATGTGGGCAGCAGGCCCACCAAGGACTGGGCGCTGACAGGACTTAGTGTCACTATCTTCATTGCTGAAAGGAGGGTACAAGACACATACCTTCCTACCAGGGGCATCAAGGCCAATGAGCACAGCGCAGCCTCTCAGAGAGCCCCTGTCTGCCTGTCTCCCCTGCCAGCCGGAGAGGAAGGCGGATGGAGGCAGCGTGTTCACAGGAGAAAGGGAGCGAGGCCCAGCACATCTGTACAGAAGTGTGGCAGTGGAGAGCGGCTCAGGAAGCCTGAGAGGTCACACAATCCCAAGGAGTTCAGGGGCTCTGGTCCCCATGTGTATCTGGGGAGCTTCAGGAAAGGCTATACTGAAAGGCTGCACTTGGGGTCACTCACCCATAGCTCCAACAGCAGCCAGAGGCCCTACCTGAGGCTCTGTGTGGTTTCTCTGAGGGTTTGGCCCCACCCACTCCTCTCAGCGGGTCCCTGTGTGCAGCACACAGAATGCCCGACTTCACATACATGGTGGCCTGGTGCAGGGCAGATGCTGCCAGTCTTTGCCCAGATCTGGGCTAGTCCTGGGGCATCTCTGCAGGTGTGCCAGGTATGTGGGAGCATGCTCTTGGGAAGGAAGTGCCTCTTCCAACACTTTTTCTTAGGGCCCCAAAGAAAGGTCCCTGCCTGAGGCTCTAGAGTGTCATGGGTGTTTGAGGGGTGGTGCCAACCTGGGTGGCTTGTCCTGGGAAGCCTGAGCTCCATTACAACTTAAAGTTGGAGAGCAACCCAACTGGAGGGACTCTTACCTGCCTGGTATTTCTGCTTTGACCTGCCCCTGCCCTCACTTCCCATTTCCAATTGTGTCTTTTCAACCACGACAGCTGCTCCTTTGGACATCTGCCAAGACATCACCTCCAACTCGGCCTATGTGACCCCTGAGATATCTCTAGGTTCACCTCCTGGCTACTTCTCTGCATCAGCCTCATCTTCATCCTGATCCAGACTCGAATCAAACAAACAGTCCCTGGGACCAATATTCCAGATCCATTTGGATCCTCAAATGCCAGGTTCTTTTTTAATCTATATATTAATCAACAGTCCCAAGTAAGAAGCCCTTCCTGAGATCAGCTCCTGTCGCAGGACTGAGCCCCCTCCTGCCCCCACGCCTGCAGGGTCCTCTCCTATGACTCTTCTTTGCCCCGAGACTCATGCATTCCCAGTTCTCCGTGGTCTGCCTGCTTCTTAGAGGACCGACCCAGTCTACCTTCCAGAGAGAACATTTGAATGCAACTCCCTGTCTCGAATTTAACTGTCATTTTGAGGGAGTCAGTAAAGAGAGACCTTCAGAATTCATGAGGAAATGGCTACTGTCACCCGTGTCCTTGGGAAATGCCATCAATAAGTCATTTAAGTTCTATTCTCCTTTCACCAATCCCAGCCATCTGTAGTCTGATCTTCAACAACACTCTCCCGAGAGCGGGTAAGATTCCCAGTCTGGTTCTGCCAAGACCGGGTCCTGTTTCATGTTTAATTGACCAGCTATACTTACTGTGGCCACCGTCAGGGAGATAGGAGAGCCGCCCAATTTTGAGGAGATGACGGAGGGCCTGGGAATAGGACAAAGGCCCCTGGGTGGCCAACGTCCCTGTCCTCTGGGCTGAGTTGTTCCTGTCCCATCTCCAGTTCCATCAGCAGACGCAGCATTCCCCTCATGGTTCTGTATAAAATGCCAGCCGCCCAAAAGAGACAAAGCAAACAGAATAAAGATGAAAGACAGGATAACCTGTTCCACGTCTTCTCTTTCTCTTTGAAATATCAGTGTTCAGAAAATGCTGTCTCACTTTTAAAGATGCCTGAAATTTGTAATAAATAGCGATAAAAGAGATGGAAATATTTTTTAAAAATCCCAGGGTCTGGGTCAAAGGAGTTTCTTGCAAGTTTTATGAGACCCAGAGAGGTGAAATGTAACTATGGAAACATAATTAATGCTATCGAGGCCTTGACTTGAAATTATGTTTAGAGAAGAATGTAAATGTCACCGTTGCTTGTTTGGAAAAGATAGCGTCTTAGGAACGTGGGCTGCTTTTTTTCTGTCCGTGGGGCACCCCCATCATAATGCTTATTGGCCAATAAGTGAATCGAGTTTCCTCTGTTCAGTTCTTTCCGATTCCTATTGTCCCATAAGGGAGTGTAATAATTTTCTTCTTTAAATGCCCACCCCCACCTTTTAAAAAAATCTCTTTTAACTTTTCTTGACTGATTCGCTGGCATTTCAGCACAAGTTAGCCTCCACGCTTCCTCTGATTTATTCAACATGGGTACTAACACCGTGAAAGGAACTTCCCCATTGGAGCTGAAATGTGAAGGACACGGCCTTCTTCGTTTTTCTGTACTCCTAGAGGCAAAGATGCTTTCTTATCTCAGAACCGCAGCATCTGAGGCACAGGCTACTGATGGGAGAAGATGCATTTTGTAAATCAAATGGAAAATCTTTACATTTGTGCCAGTGGGGTTTCCCCGCCCTGTGTAGAGCATAACTTGACACTTATTTACTTTTTCCTTTCAGAGATTGTTTTATCTTTTGAATGTTTTATCCCCCCAAAATGTAGCTATCTCCATTTAATACTTTCAGGACGAAAATAGAAGTATTATCTCCCAGATTCTAATTTAGACTATGGTTAAGAAGGCTTTAGCACAAATAAGGCTTTTGATCACAGGTTACTTGAAGCAAGATGCTTTAGCATTACAGTTAAAATTTTAATAATCCAATTGCTTGATCATATGTATTAGTGCTAGGAAAATCACCTAAATATTTTATGCTGTGTTGGCTCAGAAATTGATGTACTGCCTGCAGTACAAAGTCCATTACCTCTCAACCTCTGCAGGTTACGTGAGGTACAAACATCTTTCATCTTATACTGAGTAAGAGATTTTAATATACTGATTACAAAACACCTTTTTTTTAACACCTGAATTCAGTCATCTCTCCCTTATTTGAAAATGGTAAAGGAAAGCAGTTTGTCAGATGCTGAATAAAGATGATAACTATTTTCAAAATTACTTTTCTTCAGGGACATTGACGCGCTGGTTTGTCAGATTCTAGTGTTATTTCACAAGTGTAGGAACTTCAAATTCTATTACTTTTTTTCTAAAATAATAACCATATGGTGCTCTTAATGATGAAAAGTAGCTCTTAAAAGTAAGAAGACATTTCTGAAGGGAGAAAGCACCAGATAAAATCTTCACAGGCTTTCTAGTCTCTCCAGCTTTCACGCATTAAATGCTAGTGCCTGAGTGACATTATGTGCATTGAATAAATGCAGATTGTGCTGTTAATGTGATTGTTTGAAGAAGCTACTAGAGGAAAACACATTGGCCGGGGGAAAGTAATTACCTGCGGAGTTGCATTATTGGTTCCCAACCTATAAGCGAAGGAGAAAACATGGAGTAAATTACCCACTGCATCCGAAGCTCACATTCTCGAATCTCCCCAAGCCCCAGCCTCGCTGGGGAAGTCTTTGTCGCAGCTCCCCAGCAAGCATTCCAAACGTGCATCTCTAATGGAAACTCCTCATGCAGCAAGCATCAGAGTTGATTACTTAACACCCCTAGCCACTCTGTCTCTGGAGAAACGGGAGAACAACACCTCTTACCTGTGATAACTAAAGATTTCCCTCCATTTATCAAGAAATACAATCTTCCTAGTTATTTCCTCTAAATCCAGCTCTGGAGGGCTTTGCTTCCCACTGGAGACCTCCATATTCGTTTGGGTAACGTGAAGAAGTGGAAGCAGGAGTTGTTTAGACGGGAGGGAGGTGGGTCTGGAGCAGAAGGCCGGATGGTGGGGATGTCCCTGCTTTGGCCAGCACAGAGAGCACACCTGCTGCTCAGGGCTCATGAAACCCCTGCTGTCAGATCCTGATGAAACTTTCATTGGAGGTCAAACGCGGTGTGTTTGTGCACTGTTTGGGTGCCATGAATGTTTAATCCAGGACACAGATTTATAAATGAAGGGATTCCAATTACTTACTGTCTCAAAGCACCTGAGACAATTTAGTTGATGAGAGATGCCTTGTGGTGGAATGTGATAGCTCCTTATGCTGGAGGTCTCCTTGGAAGAGTCTGTGGGACAGAAATACAATGCCAAAGGGAGAGAAAGCCACCCTGCTCGCCCCCAAAGCTTTATCACCTACCGTGGTGTACTCCATAAGCCAAGGAAGATACCAGCTTTCACATGGTTGAAGAAGGAACTAGTTTTCTCTGTCCCGGGAGAAATCTAAAGGTCATCATCTTCTATTGGCTGAAAGAATTATAGCTGCAGTAACTGGCACAACAAGGAATATTGATGGCCGCGGTGGTTAATTTTGCTTGTCAACTGGACTGGGCTGTGGTGCCCATATCTGTGCCCTTAAACACCAGTCTAGATGTTGCTGTGAAGGTTTTTGCTTTTTTTAAAGATGTGATTAACTTTTAAATCAGGAGGCTCTTAGTGAGTGAGACCGACTACCCTCCATCTCAGGGGGGGCCTCCCCCAGTCAGCTGAAGGTCTTAGGAGAAGACTGCTGTCTTCTGAGCAGGAAGACACATCATTCTGACCAGGCAGAAGCAAGTCTTCAACACCCATCCTGTCTGGGGTTCTAGCTTGTTGGTCTACCTGCAGAATTCAGATCCCCCTCCCCCCAAAAAACACTCCTTGGATCCTGCAAGCCAGACCAAAATGATGGGTTTTATAAAAACCCAATACTGGTTACCAGAACACTTTCCTCATCTCTTCTGACTTTTTTGAACCTCATGATTGAACCTCCTTAGTGGCAAGTTGTTTTCTCTATAGATATTTCTGATGTGAGTTATATAAAATCCCAGGAATGCTAAGAGGTCAAAAGGCAAAGAGGTGACTTGGATGTATTTTAGCTGCAGTGGTGAGGGACTAGGGGATTGCTTATTTGTAATATTGCAAATAACTTAAAACAGAAAGGTACCAAATAACCCAAGGTGGACCTAAGTTTCCAAAGTCTGGCTTGGGAGTCCTCTGCCAACAGTTTCTTAAGCTAATTTTTGTTGATGGTTTAACTATTTCATATTCACAGGTTCATAAAGCTCTCTCAGATTTAGGATTTTTGTTGCAAACATAAGGGGCATGAATAAATCTTTTCATATTTTTTTTTCTAACCATAAATTCTCCTATTTTTAAAGAGAAGGTGTTGTTGCTTTCCTCTTTAGTTGTAACGATAGCATCAGTATTTAATATTTATTAGGCACCCCTAGTGTAGAAAAAGAAATAAGAAATTACATGATCCTTACTCTCAAATAATAAAATGATGAGAAATGTTCTGGCATTTCCTATTTAGAAAGTCATATTAAAAAATAAATTCTAGATCTGTCATTTAAATTATTTAACAACACCAAACCAGGAAAGGGAAACAGCTAAGAAAACCATTTTTCTTAAGAATCATTATTAAATCTGTGAATTCTGGCCGATGTCTGGGTCCTAATTCACATAGAATTCTGTAAAGGCTGGAGCGTAAATCCTGGGGATTAGACAAGTCCATTCTGTTGGGTTCAATATGCATATTTTGCATGTTCCCTCCGTGCTGGGCACTTGGAGATGCCAAGGCGAAAAGTATGATTCCCACTCCTCTGTGGTGGAGGAAACATAGGCAGTGCAGGGAACACACTGTGAGGACGTGTCCTGGGCCCCAGGAGCACAGAGGACAGGCAAGGGGGCAGGGGACCTCTGGTCCAGGCTGCTGGTTCTGAATCATAGTCTTGTCACTGGAGGAGGTCTGAGGAGTCCCCAGGGGAATCAGAACTAGTGGGGTTTTTGACAAACATCGTGGAAAGAAATTTAAGCATGCGTGGAATAGAGGTACAAACAGATTTACTTAGGAAAGTGAGGGAAAGAGAGAGAGCTGGGATTTCCTGAGTGTGAGAAGTCCCCCCTTGGTCTGGGTGCTACTATTTCAGCAGCAACAGTAACCAGGGACTGGGCTGTGGGTGGAGCTGGGCGAGTTTTGCAATGTTGAGCTAGTTTTCCTTGCCTTGCCCACGGCCCTCACGTTGTGCTTAAGGTACAGGCTGGGTGCTCTGAGCTGCTTGTTCTGTTGGCTCATGGGTGTTTCTTGACTCCAAGGGCTCATGGGCACTTTTCTTTTGAGATTCCGTGTATCTTTTTTCTCTGTGTCCCCAGTTCCTCTCTCAGTGTCACCCATTACCAGCTGTATGGCCTTAGACAGGTTATTTAATTAGCCTGTGCATCTGGTTATTCATCTGTGAAATGGGAATAATTTAGAAACTTCATTACATTGGGACCTCTCATCTATGAACATGGTATGTCTTGCTGTTCAGCCCTTCTCTGTCTTCTCATTGCTTATTTGGACTTGATACTCAGAGGCGGAATGGCTAGGTCAAATGGTATGGCCATTTGAAACTTCAACACTCAGGTTTCATCATTGCTCAAGGCCATTCCTTGCTCAGCCTCTCCTATTACTTTGATCCCCAGGTTGGGCTCCGTGGCCCTCTTGTTCCCTCACCGTTCTCTCCACTTCTGCAGATGGAAAGGGCTGGTCTCTGGAGTAGTCCCCGAGTTAAGAATGTGTTCATTCATGTCCAGGGGAAACTACCATTCTCTTGGGCATTTTGTCAACAGACCAAGAACAGCAGACCTGGGTGTAAAAAGTAGAGTGGGAAGAAAGAATGGGGCTGGGGGACCCTGACCCAGTCTGGAAGGAGGAGATAGTGGAGGGCACAGAATGTGTGGAATCTGGGGTTGACGTCTTCATTTTATGCCCTGCCCCCACCCCACAGCATAGGAAGTCACCCAAAGCTCCTGTCCCAAGATGCTCTGATTCTGTAAAGGACTGGGGTGGAATACGAGATCTCAGGGACTGGGGCTGGGGCTCAGTGGTAGAGCGCTTGCCTAGCATGCACAAGGCACCAGGTTCCTTCCTCAGCACCACATAAATGTAAAAATAAAGATATTGTATCCACCTAAAGCTTAAGATTAAATATTAAAAAGAGAGAGAGAGAGAGAGAGAGAGAGAGAGAGAGCTCAGACAGCCATGTGTCTGCTGCAAAGATCCAGTTCAAAGCCCTGGGACCTGGGGGAGGAAGGAGAGCTTCTGCAGCGTGCGGCAGGATGATGGGGGCCAGGAGGGTCTGCACCCATTCACCTTCCCAAGCACCACACGGCATGAATGTAGAAATCAGCACCCAAGGCCACGTGCTTTGTTCATAATCAAATACAACAATATTAATGACATTATGACAAAAGCTAGTATATATTCTGAACCTGAAATTCAGAATGTGAGTGTTCAGCATTATTAACATTTGCTCTAGACCCCAGAAAGCAAGACTGATCTTAATGATCACACACTCAATTCAGCCCGTAGTCAATTTTGAAGAACTTGGGTGTGCAAACACTTCAACTAGCTTGCAAAATGACCCCCACCACCACCAGAATTTCTTCTTGCTGTTTTCATGTGAGTCTTCGTAAACAGGAATCTGGAAGCAGAATTTTAGAGGCTTTTGATTTTTTTTTTCTTAAAACACAATCTCGTTAGTATTTAATTAACCTTACCACTGGAAAGCTCTTCCTTAGGATTAAGTTAAATCCTTTATGCTTTAATTATCATTCATTTTCTTCAGTTCTACTTTCTGTGGAGATGGAAATTTCCTGATTATATTCCTTCCTGAAAGAATCCTGCCGTCCCTAAAGCTGGGAGGTGGCTGATATGTTCTGCTTTTGTTCTGGTGCTGTGGTGAGGAGGAGGAAGGTGGGGGGAAGGTCCAGCGTCCAATGGATCTATGTCCTAACCAGATAGATGGATCTATGTCCCTCTGCCACAGCTGTGTGACCTTGGGCAAGTTCTCTAGTCTCTCTCTGAGCTTTGCTTCCATACCTCCTCTGACGTACCTCGTGATGATCATGGTTTGTCTGAAAGCTCCTAACCGTTAAGTGTTTCCTTGTCTCTACAGGTTAAAATGCCCCCTCAGAAGTTCCATCTTCCTATCTTTGTAGACTTTAGGAATAGCAGCTTGGGTCAGGGATACAGCTGAAAGTCAAAAGTCCCACGTGAGGGACACAGATGTCGGTCCTGGCCCACTCTCTCAGTCAGTGGCCTTTGGACACTGGTCACTACTGTGGTCCTGTCAACACCTCAAAGGCCTCAGAAACCACCGTGTTATAATGGGGAATATGGATTTGGTCTTTGATCCTGGTGCCGAAAACCCTTGGCATTTCCTGAGCTGACCTTGGTGGCCCCTCAGCAGCTTCAGTGTGGTTTGAAACTGGAGAGGCTGGAGAGGCTGGAGAGACTGGAGAGTCTGGTGAGGCTGGGAAGGCTGGAGAGGCTGGAGAGGCTGGGGAGGCTGGGGAGGCTGGGGAGGCTGGGGACTGAACTACCAGGATGGTTCAATCAACAACGCCTACGTCAGGAACAGGCTCCAGGGAGCTTCTCAGCTGGCGGACACACCCTGCCGCAGTCCAGCTGCAGCAAAATAACCCGGAAGTGACGAACAACTTGTGTACATTGATACAGCAGGAGTGGGAGCCGTTTACTGTAGGACAACAGAGGTATTTATACACTCCACACAGCTTATCTTAATTAACATAAACTAGATACAGCAGTCAACCAATAAGGAATCTCCACACTTAACGGCTCGCTGGCGCCACCTCACAAACCACTCCCCCTGGCAAAATGCCAGGCGCCATCCTGACTTGTTTACAGACTCTAACAACACCCAGGTGCCAGGAGGGCAGTA